GTTTATTGAGCTACCTTGAAAACAAGAATGCTTTTATTCTTATTTACATTAAGGTTCAGGGCTACAAACTGCATATTTATATGAATCCTGGCCTTGGGTTGGAGCAATGCTGGTTTCAAGAAAAATAAATACCCTGAACATCAACCTTCACTAATTGACTATCTGACAAATATGCTGGGTTTATTTCCCCTTTAGAATGGCCGATGCATCTAAAGATCTTTTCCCAATAATAGTTCCTTTAGTGATTGAAATTATTGTGATATCCACACAGAGGAGATGATACTGGCACACAGTATATTCAGTCATAACATGAACTAGATTATAAGCATAGATTACAAACTATAATGGATGATTCACATCATTCTGAAGTCTCAACCTTTGGGGGAATTGTGAGAACATATAATAGCACGCTTACAAAATGGCTGTCTTGGGGTAGGTATGCCATTTTTAAAAAGAAAATACACTTTCAAGAAAAGTGTATGATTACTCATTATTCCTTTTTTATTTTCTAAAAATCCTGGGTACATCTGCTGAGATGTTTGTTTTTTTCTTTTTATGAATTTGCGTGTTAGAGTTTTGCTTGTTTGTAATCCAAACACAGTATCTGCATTATATCACATGACTACCTAATGATTACTAGGTGCCACGAGGTTTGTTCCTGCTGTCACTCAGCGTGCTCCATATTTTAAGGGGACAGCTGTGGTGGATGGAGATTTCAGGGAAGTCAGTTTAGATGACTTTAAAGGAAAATACCTGGTCCTTTTCTTCTATCCCTTGGATTTGTAAGTATTGTTTTATGTTGTATCTCTTAAATAGACTTGGACTTCATGTTTTGGGCAGATAATCTTGTTTGTTAATTCAACCTCACTTGCATTCTGGTTATCATGTATACTGTAATGGTGGCCTTTGTGTACAAGTTCAGTGATAAGAAATGGGCCAAAGACATTCTTATGAATGCCTTTTCAGATTAAGGAGGATATGTGTTGCTGATACTATTATTATCATCTCAAATTAATCCAAGATAACGTGAAGTCATTTTGACTGTGATGGATTATAATCTACTACATTGCATGTTGTTCAGTGTTGTCAACTGCCCAGTCTAGGGAGAAAGTGACTGGCCCAGTCACCTACTGGACTAAAAACTGAGTCTGCCCATTTCTACTCCAGCCTCCTAGCTCCTCCTCCTTCCTCTTACATTGGATCTCATAGTCAGAGATAGAAGAAAAATGATTTGGAATATTAATTGCTTATTTGTCTAGATAAAGTGGTACATCCATTGTGTATGAAGCAAAAAAGTAAATTATATAGTTTAGGCAAAAGGTTATTGGATTAAACAAATACATGCACTTAATTCTCCAGTAACTTGTTTTGCAGATGTGAAAAATTTATTGTCTCAATTTTAATGTCTCAGATGCCATAATGTGGACAGTGCAGATTAGAAATTAGTGTAGAGTATAACCTGCTTTGAGCATGAATTATAGGGTTGTATAATGATCCAAATTGAAAGGGCAAATGTGATTCCAAGTACTGTACACATAGTATCTGAAGATTCCTTAAACCAAAGGCATCCTTTCCCAGAATCTTACAATAGCTATGCAGTTCCAGGAAAAGATGAAATTGTTGACAGGTGCTACTTATAGACTCAGAGTTACTCCAGATCGCATTTTGCCTTTGTACAGTAACAGTATCTGGATATCTGCATATAGAGCTCCTAATGTATTGTATTATTACAATACTGCATAAAGAGTCTAGTAAAATATTTGTAAAACACCTATCTGGCGCATTTGATGTGGTATAATTGCTAAAACTGTACAAATTATGGAAATTTTATGATCCCCAAATCTTATGTTCCTTATTGTATGGTCTATATCTTATGTTAATTATGATGCTGTAGTCTGTCCCTAAAAAGAATTGTAATGAAAGAGAGGATGGAGCATTTGTAGATTTCAGCAGCTTTATATGGAATACAGACTGCAGCATATCTTTGGATCTTCTTGCAATTATGAATGATAAGAGCAAATGAAAATAGTGATCAGATAAATGTTACAAACATTTGATAGAAATTGGGGATTCAATTTTGAAGCAACATTTTTGGCATCTTTTCTAGATGACATGCTATCATTCTTCTGAACTTTGTCCTTTTAATTTATGTCCCAAGGAATTATTTGGATAAGCAGGATGCCCCAAATGGATAAATATTTATTTTGCTCATACTTTGTACAACACAGTGGTATAAGGATTTTTTGAGGCCTGTTCCATTCTGTTTCATTTTCTGTCTGTATTTTTCCACACTAGCACTTTTGTATGCCCAACAGAAATTATTGCTTTTAGTGACAAAGCAAATGAATTCCATGATGTGAATTGTGAAGTTGTTGCTGTATCAGTGGACTCTCACTTCTGTCATCTGGCCTGGATAAATACACCACGAAAGGTAGAAAATTAAGTTTCTTTTCACTTATTCTTGCATTATCATTATATTTAATTATCTCTATTTATACAGTGCCACAGACACTAGCTACTTCGCTTGACAGAATTAATGGGGTATTGAATGTAGAAGAAAATTGCTTTTACTTATTTGGATATTTACTAAAATCTTAAAATCTGTTTAAAATCTAGATTCATCTTACTTTATTACTAATTACATTAATATTAGCCTGGTATATAAATATCTTAGTTTCTTACAGGGCACTGTTTTAATAAGATTTTCTTAAAATGTAAACAGAAAAGAAACTTGTTCATTTCTCAACTGTGAATATTTATACTTTTCCTACCAGATAGGCATTTCACTTTCACCTAATAAAAATGAACTACTCGTGATTTTTGCTGTTTTTGAAATTTATTGAATTGTTGTGATATTTAATTTTATTTGTGCTTTCTTCTCACGGGTATTTTGACTCAGTTATTTGCATCAAATGCATCAAAATTTGCATCAATTCACGATGTCATTGTGCATACTGTATATCATGACTGATGCATCATTGTGACCGCCTTTAGACACCACTGTTCATTTTGTCTAATCTACTCTAAACCATAAGAAAAGTAGCATCCAGTAAGAAACGGAAAGATAAAACAATCTAAACTATTATGCTTGGTCATTGTAAGAAAGGCCCAACCCCAAGGCCACAAGTAACTGATAGCTACAAAAGTTGCTACTATTTTAAGTCTAACTATAAAATCCTGAAATGGATAATTAACAATATCCTTTATAAGTAAATACAGAAAAAACAATTATGTGAAATATATAGGATGCAACAAAGAAAACTAGTGTATAATAAGAACCGTGGTGGTGCAGTGGTTAGAATGCAGTATTGCAGGCTATTTCTGCCCGACTGCCAGCTGCCAGCAGTTTGGCAGTTTGAGTCTCACCGGGTCAAGGTTGACTCAGCCTTCCATCCTTCCGAGGTCAGTGAAATGAGGAACCAGATTGTTGGGGGCAATGCGCTGACTCTGTAAACTGCTTAGAGAGGGCTGTAAAGCACTGTGAAGCGGTATATAAGGCTAAGTGCTATTGCTAAGTGCTATAATATTCTGTTGTAAATTAGTGGTGGGATTTTAATCATCACTTAGAACATCCCTCAAGTGGGACTGTTGATTAAAATAGTGGTTCTTTCTTGCTGACTTAAAAGAATCAAGTCTCCTGGAAGAATTTGGAAGGCCTGGACAAATTGGATCTTGCTCTTACCTGTTTTCTGAGCTTTTCTGTAGTGAGGTTCTGTTGCTTTTTCTCTAGAAGACCCGTTACATAATTTTGTGCCATTTTATCAATTGAACCTGTAAAGTTTCAGAGTACTGGATTAAAATTTGTGCTTCAGAACACTGGCCTGTACTTTAAAATCATGATTAATTACTTTCATATCCACCAGTAACTTTAATATGAATGGGAAATGGGGTGATGTTTTCAAAACATAGCTTTACTTGCTTGTGTATGCTACAACCTTGAAGTCTGTCTAGTCATCTAACTAAATTCATGACCACCTGCCAGGGCTTCCACAACTAAATATAAGTGATGACCACATACATTTTGTCTGGATATGGCCCCTAAACACTAATGAGACTTGTTGGCCTTTTTTCAAGGGTAGGTCATTTATCTCCTTGGTTCTGTGATGTAATTAAATTGAACAGATGTTCATGCCTTATTATTAAGACTCCTAGGTAAAGACAGCTGTGCTTGTTTGCATGTATCTTACTAATATCAAAATTACAGCCTTAAAATTTAAAATCAGGTGGTTGAACTTTTAATTATTTTATTTTTTATCCCACCTTTATTACTTTTTATAAATAACTCAAGGTGGCAAACATAGCTAATACTCCTCTTTTTCTGCACAACAAGAACTCTATGAGGTAAATTGAGCCGAGAGAGAGAGTGACTGGTCCAAAGGCACCCAGCCGGCTTTCATATCTAAGATGGGACTAGAACTCACAGTTTCACCGTTTCTAGCCTGCTGCCTTAACTACCAGACCAAACCTCTTAGTGGCAATATTTGATGCCCACAATATAAAACAATAAAAGCTTTTATTTCTGTTTGTTTTAATGAAAAGCTGCTGTAGCCTCAACATACCGTAATTGGATTCATGTCCTTTCATATGAAAAGGGCAGGTTGGTTTTATATGGGCCAGCCTACCCCATTGTGCCCCTTTGATGTGGGAAAACACAGCTCACACTTTTAAAATCAATTGCCTCCTAATACACAGGTAACCATTTAATCATGAATTATGAAACAACAAAAATGTTCTTTTTTTGATATTTCTTTAAAGTTTTATTTCCAAAGTTAAAATACAGAACTTCAACAAAAAAGGAGACGAGAGAAACAACAACAAAGCAAAAACTAAACAAGACAAAAATATTGTGCAAAAAACAAATGCACATACATACACACACACACGCGCGGAGGGTTCCATCATATATTAATTCAGCAAACCCACAAGTGTTGCTTCAGCACATTATCTCTGCAGTATTGTTCCCCCAAACACCCGAAGAGCTTTTACTCTTGCTTGCCATCGTATCTGCCATCTTCGAGGGAAGGCTCTATGCCATACCATAAGATTTGCAGCTCTTTCCTTGAGGTTTGGGGGAGATGGAAACCGGGCTGTGTGTTGCTGGCTTGCCTTGCCTGTAAGATAGGTATATTTCCTCATATATCATAATACTAGGCAGGACAGATGTGGATCACCTTAATCTCCTGCTGGCTAATCAGGAGGAAGGGATTTCAGAGACACTTCTGTGTCAGAGCTATGATTAAACATAAACGGGTGCTCCAAGTGAGGAACTAAACCTTAACTTAACTTAACTTAATATATATTTTCTTTCTCAATGGTTGGTTGTGAGGGATATATACTCACTTTTTATTCGTCATCTTTCAATTAGTAGTAAAAATCTACAGAAAAGCTAAAAATGTCTTGTCTTTTTCCTTAGATTGGTGGTTTAGGCCACATGAATATCCCCCTTCTATCAGATTTAACAAAACAGATTTCCCGAGATTATGGTGTTCTCATAGAAAGCTCTGGGCTAGCATTAAGGTAAGGAATCTGTTTTGTTACTTACCTTGGATGTCTCTAGTAAGATAGGATTGGGATTTATATATAATGCCACAAAATACTCCAATTGATTGTAATTTAGTATATTGTGTGAAGTCAAGTATTGCAGTTTTTAAACCTAGGTTCCTGGTTTAGTACATTGTGTGAACTAAGTCTGCCTCTTCCTGAAGCCTACCGGTAGTCCTTGACTTTGGGCTGGAAGAAAGGGGAGGGGAGGACATAAGCCACTTCTGCTCTTTTTCCCTTTTTCACAGTACAAAGCTAGCTCATATGGACCAGGAGTACAGCGCAAAGAGGCATTTTTGTATGTTCTGCCTTCTTTAAGCTGATTCCCCCCCTTTTTTTTTTTGCAGCGCAAAGCCAGCTCCATACATCCTAAGAATATGGAGCAAAGGGCCATTTTGATATGCTCCGGGCTCTTTAAATTGCTTTGTGCAATTCCCCCTTTTTCACTCTGGCCCAGCAGCCAGGCTGGCCACAGCTTGTCAGTAGTGGGAGCAAAGAGGAAGTGGCAAAGTTTATCTAGGACTATGGAGTGCAGGGTGGCAAGGATAACTAGAACTTGGTTGTGGTGGCTGTGGTTTCCTGGGACTTGGCAAACAGAATTGTTGGGCTCTGGGACTGCTTGCCACCTTGCAAGGCAGGGTGTAGAAGTTGAGGATTAGCTGTATGAATTGTTTAATTTTGTTAAGCAGAAAAGACAGGAATAGTTGTATCAGATAATATTTTCAGCAGGTTCTTAAAATGCCTACTTAACCTGCCTTAGCCAACTTGTTGCCTGTATTATACATTGCAATCTAATTGCTGTTTGCTCCCTGCTATGTAGCAATTTCTCATCCTGGCTAGGGAATCACAGGAATTACACTCCAGTACAATTGGATTGTTTGGATAATTCTTACAGTGTTATTTTTTTCAACCCTAAGTCCGTACGTCTTTGGGAGTGGGTGGTATTTATCCAAGCAGGAAAGAAAGAAAGAAAGAAAGAAAGAAAGAAAGAAAGAAAGAAAGAAAGAAAGAAAGAAAGAAAGAAAGAAAGAAAGAATAATCTTCTAGGAGCAGTAATTTCACACACACACAGACACACACGCACATGCTGTGCACCGCCCTGAGTCCTGCGGGAGAAGGGCGGTATATAAATTAAATTAATAATAATAATAATTAATAATGCACCACCACCACCACAATCAGAGTTTAATACTTCATTTATATAATATACTACAGAATAAAATACTATATGTTTTGCTGGAATTGCTGGATAGAATGTAAGACTGGGAATATGTTAGATCTCTCCTACCATGCAAATCTAAGAGCTGAAGTTCCTTCCTTTCCTCTTATATACGTAAACTATCTATGAATCTGTCTGTCTGTCAGTTAAGGGTCTTTTAAACATTTTCATGTTGGTAAACTTCATATACAAAGTAAACTTCATATGTAAAATTTTATATATAAAAGATAAATGTGACTATCACTGATATGCAGGTTTTTTTCTTGCTGTACTTAAACTGACAATCTGTTAAGGCTTCAGAGTATTCACTAGGTATAAACAATAACTTTAAAAGACTAGTGGAAAATATGGTGGAAGCTATATTAACCTCCAATAGAATCAGAACTGGCTCTTTTACAAGCAAACAAATTACATAAATTCATCTGCCTTTTTCACTGCAGTCTGGTAGAGAAAGAAGAAGGAGATAGATGTTAGGTCTCAGTCTGTTTTACACTGTAAAGCCATTTTTGCAGGAAGTATATTTTTAATTTGATGCATTTACTTTTTTTTAAAAAAAGGGGCCTTTTTATCATTGATCCTAATGGCATCGTCAAGCATTTAAGTGTCAATGATCTCCCAGTGGGTCGCAGTGTAGAAGAAACACTTCGGTTGGTGAAAGCTTTCCAGTATGTAGAAACACATGGAGAAGTCTGCCCAGCAAACTGGATTCCAGAGTCCCCAACGGTATGTTATTAAAGCTAATATGTAAAACATCATGCCGAGAAGGCCCTTGTTTCAATTATAGAAAATCTTTTTTTCTCTATATATATCTAGAGTTCTTTCATGCCCTACTAGTGTATACCAGGTTCTTTAGACCTGCTCTCTTTCTTATGATTGGATGCCAGTATGAGAGAAGATATTACCTATACATGAAGTCTTCACCACACAACAGCAATTGTGACTGCAGTTTCCATTGCTAAATGGTGTGGTCCTAAAGTGTGATGCTATATGACCACGCTGCTTAGCAATGGAAGTTGTGGCTGCTTTGGTTAAGCAAAGATATAGTATGGTTGCCATTTGCAACATTCTGTCGGCATTCTCGTTGACTTTGCTTGTAGAAAGGTGGCAAGGAAAGTTGCAAATGGCAATCACAGGGCCATGGGATGCTGTGATACCATAATTGAGGGTCATAATTGTATCCAGACCACAATCAAATGACCAGAGGAGACACTGTGATGGCTGTAGGTCCCAAGAACTGGTTGTAAGTATTATTGAAAATTTGAAAAGTTGATGAATGAGTTTGAAGTAGGTATGCTTTTAAGTTCCCTATTATCTCATAAGAGATAATAAAGGAATGTTTGATATTTATGTGCATAGGGACTCTATAAGGCATTTAATTAATTGCCTTGATTGAATGCATAATTCAATACTTAACTTTTAACTCTTTTTGTTTTGCAGATTAAGCCAAACCCAGAAGATTCAAAAGAATATTTTGCAAAAGTAAATAAATAAAATGGTGAGCAGTATGGGATTAATGATTGAATCTATTTCCTGAAGAATCAAACATCCTGTGAGACTAGCCATGATAACAATAAAAAACACAAAATATTTTCTACTTTGCTATGATGAATATGTAAAAATTCACAGGGCTTTGGCCTTCCTCCATAGACGAATTAATTTAATCCCAAATTAGTTTAAATAGCACATATTTTCTACACAAAATACTAGAACATAATTCTCATTTAAAAAGCATTCATTGCTTGAAGTAAAAATACCTGCATTTTATATTAGGAAAAATAGTGATGCTCTTTAGTTTGTAGTATATGCAGATTTCCTATCTTCATAAACTTAATCAAACTGTAACCCAAGTGACAGACATTCAGTAAATTAGTTGCATACATAGCATGAATCTTCATGCCTTGTTTTTTATGAATCTTCATGTCTTATTTTTATGAATCTTCATGCCTTATGTTTTTTACTCCCTTGACCAACCTACCAACACAGGATGTCTCTTTGGGAATTATCTTTGTGATCTAATAATAAAATAATCATGATTATTCAGCATAATAAATAGGCTATTAAATATTTTAGAATACTTAAATGAAAAAAAATAGAGTAAATGAAAAATGTATGCTTTTATTTTATAAATAAACGCAAGATGAAGCTGTGAATCAAAGTCTGTTAATACCAACACTAAACCTTCTCATGTTTTGGAAATGTTGCTATGAATATTTAGTAATATTTTGGCTATAGATTTTCAAGACTATAATGATGGAATATTAATTATAGAGGATTTATTATTGTGAAAATTGATAGAACTTATTTTTGAACAAGATTTTTCACATCACAATTAAATGCATAACTATGAATTGAAAGCACTCCAAAAAGAAAACTTTGGATTTTGCTATAATTACACGTAGTCTCATTTATCCCACCAATATATTTTCATTTTGCCTTCCCCTGCCTCAATACTATGCTCTCTGTACTGTCAGGATATTCTTAGTAATCATTTGTGGGAATGCATTGAAGCACTATTTGTAGGAACAAGTGTGGCACCATTGGTCTTTTATAGAATAGCTGCCACACTTTATGCAGGCAGCAGCTCAAGAAGAGGCTGTCGCAGTCACAGTAATGAAGCTAGCTACATCAATATCAGTGCCATCTCAAAATACTTCTTTCTGATCATTGGAACTTCTATGCAATCTTCTACAACTCAGTAGTCTATAATTATCCCAGGTTCGTTTAGTTACATTTATTTGCCTGAAATTCCATCTTTGGGAGGTAAGAGAAAAGTTTAAGCAAGTATCTCTCCTATTTTATTCCCACCCCAACAAGCCTGTGAAAACTAAGGAGAAATTTTCTGACTGTTAGAACAATCAGTGGAATGACTTGGCCCCAAAAGTTGTGGGTGCTCTTTTTAAGAAGAGATTGGACAGCCATTCGTCTGAAATGGTAGAGGGTTTCCTGCTTGGGCAGGTGTTTTGACTAAAAGACCTCCAAGGTCTCTTCCAACTGTGTTATTCTGTTCTCCTATTTGTTAAACAGGTTGATACCTTGACCATTCTTATTCAATGAGCTCTGTGATCCGGTTGAGATTTAAATTGGGGTTTCTCTGGTATTTTGAATTGAAAGCTTATTGTATCTTTTTTCTATAAGGGGAGATGGCATGATGGTCTGACTAGCCACAAAGCCCTGTTATATAAGAAAACAAACTGGTAATCTAGTCCTAGTGGACAATCACCTAAATATGAGCCAGCAGTGTGCTGCAGCTGCCAAAAAGGCCAACACAGTGCTAGGCTGCATTAACAGAGGGATAGAATCAAGATCACGTGAAGTGTTAATACCACTTTACAATGCCTTGGTAAGGCCACACTTGGAATACTGCATCCAGTTTTGGTCACCGCGATGTAAAAAAGATGTNGAGGGGACATGATAGCAGTGTTCCAATATCTCAGGGGTTGCCATAAAGAAGAGGGAGTCAAGCTATTTTCCAAAGCGCCTGGAGGCAGGACAAGAAGCAACGGATGGAAACTAATCAAGGAGAGAAGCAATCTAGAACTAAGGAGAAACTTCCTGACAGTGAGAACAATTAACCAGTGGAACAACCTGCCTCCAGAAGCAGTGAATGCTCCAACACTGGAAGTTTTTAAGAAGAGACTGGACAGCCATTTGTCCGAAATAGTATAGGGTTTCCTGCCTGAGCAGGGGGTTGGACTAGATGACCTTCAAGGTCCCTTCCAACTTTACTATTATTATTATTATTATTATTGTTATTATTATTATTATTATTATTATTGTTATTATTATTATTATTATTATTATAATGCTTTCCACCATCTCATCTTTTTAGGTCTAAGTATCCGAACACAGCAGTAGATTCCTTTTTTTCCTAAGAAAATGAGTTTTTGACTAGTTCTGGATTTTAAAAAGATCCTTGGAAATTATGTTTGAGCCTAGTCCTACTCTGCAACATTCTACTTTCTAATTTTGTTATATTTTCCCTGCCTTTTTTTTTCAAGATGAAAATATTTTTTTTAAACAAGGGCATGAAATCTGGTAGGCACTAATGGAAGGGTCTATGGCAGTGGTTCTCAACCTTTTTAATGCCGCGACCCCTAACCGGTCGTAAGTGGAGGACTAAACCGGTCGTAAGTTGAGGACTAAACCAGTCGTAAGTCGAGGACTGAACCGGTCGTAAGTCGAGGACTACCCAACCAGTCGTAAGTCGAGGACTTTCCCTCCCTGGGAGCGCCGCGCATGCGTGGTTCTGCCCCCTGCGCCGGCCGAGGTGTAGCTGGCAAGCGGCAGAGACGGAGCAGGCCGACCACCAGCTGGCCCAGCTCAAGGGAGGTAAGGCACCTGCTGGAAAAGGGGAAAAAAATGGCGGACAGCCTTGCTTGGCGACCCCCGTGAAATGGTCGATCGACCCCAAATGGGGTCGCGACCCATAGGTTGAGAACCGCTGGTCTATGGCACAGATGTCAAACTTGATTATGTCATGTATTTTAACACTTTTTACCTTTGCGGAGCTGGGGTGGGCGTGGCCTGTGCGTGATGCATCCGGCTCATGGGGCCCTCAGTTTGACACCCCTGGTCTATGGTTATATGTGTGTGTGTGGGGTCATTATGTTGGGAAACCAGACACATTTTTTCTGGATGATTAATAGCCTGATGAGGGCCAAATTATAAGGCTTTTGAGCACATGGATATCTTAAAAGAGGAATAGATAAAATTGTATATACGGTCACTTATGTTTCTGCATTCATCAGTTGGGACAGTGCTTATGTGCATAATAATCCTTGGCTGAGTTACTTGGCTATACTCTTGAAAATGCTTTCTGTGCTATCAATGCTGCACAAGAAAGAATTTGCTTGGAAAGACTATATACAGTATACCTATTCAGTATATAGGTTTACTATTATTTATTATTCATTGACTTGATGTAATCTATTTCTGAATACAGTAGCTGTGAAGCTGTATAAGCAATTTCCTGTCATTGAATATCCTGGACCTGGAGCAAGAACTGTGTGGCATTTCTGATTCTGAAAGATGACATTCTCCAGAATGTAGGAGGGCTTTTTTTTGCATATTTTTGGTAACAGGATTAGCATTATATTCCCATCAGTACATTCTAGATATGTAAAATAGAACATAAGTGAGTCTGGATGATTTGGCAGCATACACATTTTAACAAAGATGGCAGTAATTGTAAGAATGCTATTTGCATCTAGGTGACATTGAGAAAGTGCTTGATTCGACTCAATCAATTAGCTCAGTACAGTACAAAATGTACAGATAGTATGTTTCACATTTGGTTTATTCGGTTTGTAAAAAATTAGATATTTTTTCATTTTCAAAGCAGCTTTTTAATATATATATAATGTGTATATATATATATATACACACATTATATATATACATATATATATATATATAATGTGTATATATATATATATATATATACACACACACATATTGCCTCTCGGCTGGGATGGTATAACAGTTCTCTGGCTAGACTCTGGAAATCCAGCCCTTTGTTCTAATTCAATGTATTGCGGGACTTGACGCAAGTTGGTTAACCATCTCATGGTTAGCGCGATGCAAACGTGCCGCACGATCCGTGTTATGAGCCAGTAAGGGCGCAGCTTGATACGAGCCAGAAACGTTCACTTCGCATCGCACACGATCATCACGGCGTGCGAGATTCACACAGCGCGTGCATTATGAAATCAATTGCCGATTCCCTAAGTTATGCGAACCCGGGCTAAAACTTCCAACCCGTTCATTGACAGACCAATTGCAGTCTTGATTTTGATCGCGGGTTGATTTCAAAAACTAAATGCAAGAGTAACGATGCGTTGGGCTGTTCCTATATTTATTCCTAGCCTTGAAGCTAGGGAGGGCAGTCACCCCTCTCCTCCCATCTTGTGACTCCGCACCTCCCTTCCCCCTTTTCTGGAAGGCGGGAAACGGGGAGAACCATTCCATAGGGATTCGAGTTTTTCGTGTAAAAAAAAACAACGGGAGCGTTTGAAGATCGAATCGGCGTCCAAGGAACAAACGCGCAGCGGTGAGCATGAATGACGTCAAAGGCGAGGGGATGAACCCGCATCGCCAAAAGATCTCCACGGGTGGGTTGACTTTGCCGACGTTTTCCGGAACAGACGCTTTCCGGCGCGCGGCCATCCGAGCATGATGGATTTAAATTTGCAGTTTTGGAGAAACGAGGGTCAAGTACGGTTAACTGTAAAGCGTGACGCCGCGGGCGGGAAGGGGCGGGAAAATGACCGTTCGAGTGCCGCCTGGAAGTTAAAAGGTGGACGGGGCGGGTATCGTGGGGAAGCGAGGCTTTGCTCTCGGTTGGCGCAGGGAAAGGGGTTCGACCTAGAAAGGGCGATCGTAGGACTAAATGGCTGGCCGGGGGAACTTCGCCCTCGCCTGCAGCCATTCTGCCCAGGAAATGTGGAGATTGAGCTGGCGTGGAAGGAGTTATTTCTTCGATTCGGCAAAATACACAGTAACGCAA